AGTGAATAATAACCTTGCTATCAGAGACTATTGTAAACTCGATTATAGAGGATGTGGATGGAACTAGGGTATGATAGCCTGGTCATTTTATCTCCCTCTTGAACCATTCTATCTTTATTCTAGTTTTAAATATTTCTTGCTTTTTTTCTTGACAGAAGTTTTTTTCCTCTGGTTTAATACTGCCAGTAATCTTTCTTTCACAGTTTTTCATCTCTATCTATTGGTTTTACTTTTCTCATGTTTCCCAGTTTATGAATCACAGAAAGGGTAGCTGTATAGAGATACTAACTGGATTAATGGCTGATCGGAGATATGAGCCGGGGGAAGGTGGAGGGAAACAAGGAGCAAATCATGAATACAGGAGTGGGGAGGATACTCTAGAACTAATTGTGCTGATGTATATACAACTCTTTTTAAAATGACTGAATTAAGGAAGTGTATATGTAGATAACATTCAATAAAACTAAAAAAAATTCAATAAAACTATTGGGGGGCGGAGAAAACAAATAATCAAATGGATTAGGGACTTGAGTCTCAGAAACCATATTTGGACCCAAGTGAGGATTTCTGTTTATACACTCTGACCCTATTAAGCCACGTGATTAATCTTTTCCCACTCTTCTTGGGAGTATCTTTCCTTATCATATCTCTAACTTTTACCTGTTTACCTCCTGCAACTAGCTTTCAGGAAGATCATCGATCACTGAATTTTGCTAATATCTCATTGTTCAAGTTTGTGCACTGCTCAGTCTTTTTGCTTTTTATGGAAAGACCTCATCCCTTGTAAGGAGGTCCCGGCATCTACAGAAGACAGATATCCTGAGGGAAAACAAGTCATTCCTTTTCCTACAGTCAGAGAACAAGGCATGGAACAAGCATGGAACGGTAGGTTTTTGAGGGCAAGTTCTGCAGAAATACAATAGGTGAAATTTTAGTGTTCAAAGTCCACTATGAGAGAATTCCGACTGCGTGTACATCCCATCCTGGCACAGACAGTAACTTTTCTGGGATTACACAGCCCCTCGGCGTCAGAGTGAAGCGGAACCTTTAGTTCAAAGTTCTTGCCTCTACACCACCTTGACAACCCGAAGACAGATGTATTCGTAGACCGTTTTCATTGCTTTCTTTTAGACGGAAATAAAAACTTCCAGAACGACTACCAGATAAAGTCTGTACGGATTGATTCCCATTTCACAGTAGTGTCAACAATACAGGTTTTGAGAGAATAAAGTCATATCCTGCGGGTGGGACGTAGGAAAAGTTATTTCACCCCTCCGAGTTTCAGTTTCCATATATGCAAAACGATACCACCTAGTCTCGGTATTTCGTGCGCAGATTAAATGACAAGCAAAGCAGCTGGCACAAAATAAAGGCGACGTAAGTGTTATCCCGAGGCTGCCCCGAATCAAAGCCTTTGAACCCATTTCACTTCTCAGCTGCCGCAGAGATGAGATCACCCGGGAACGCAGCACCGCAGAGCCGTTCGACGTCCAGCTCCGCGTCCCCAGAAGGCGCCTCCGGCAGCGAGGACCCCGGGGGAAGCGACCCCGCCCCTCGCGGGCGTAGGCCCCGCCCCTCGAGGGCGTCCCGCGCGCCTGACCTCTTTCGAGGCTGCCCTCCGCGCCCGGCGTGCCCACACCAGCCGTGGCGAGCGCTTTTCTCTCCGTGTTTCCCAAGGTGGAAACGCCTGCAAGGACTTGGGTCCAACGCAGATACAGGCACAGTCTGAGACAGCCCCAACCTAGAGCGCCGCGACCGCGCAAGGCCCCCGCGCCGCCGCCGCCGCCCGCGCGCCGAGCCCCGGTCCCGGTCCCGGACCCGCCCCCGAGAGCCCCAGCCGGTAGGCCCTCGGCTCTGCGATTTTCTTCTCCTCACCACCCACCTCTTCAGCGCCATGCCGCTGTACGAGGGCCTGGGGAGCGGCGGAGAGAAGACGGCAGTCGTGATAGACCTGGGAGAGGCTTTTACCAAGTGAGTGACGCGGCGCAGCCTGCAGTCGGCCCGCCCGAGGTGGGGGCGGGCAACCGAGCCCCACGGTCCCCTTCACGGACCCACAAGCTGGGCTTTAGCGGTCGGAAACAGAGCCTGGGGCAAACTAAATAGCGCTCGCCCCTCCCCGCCCGCAATATAAAGACGAGTGGACGTGGGTGGTCGCGACTCGTCCGCAGAGTCGCTTCCCACCTTGGCTGACTCCCAGACCGAACAGACCCTTAGGATCATTCGCGCTGTAGATGACCCAGATCCGGTTTGACCTGGGCTTGCCCGGTTAGGCAGACAGCAACCTAGTTGCAAGGCTCGTTGAAGATCACCATGTTTAACCATCTAGTGGAGCCTCTGTAGGTGCTGGCAATACAAATATGTTTGGGGATGGGCCTTTTAAGACTAGGCAGTCAAATTAGGAAGACTTAACACATAAAGAGGTGAAACCCTGTAGATAAGACTCTCGAGATCGTTCGTTGGCAAGCCTAAACCCATAGATCAAGAAATTTCACCTATAACGTGCAGCATGTAAACACTGGCGTAAACAAAACCTCCATTGCCTATGAGTCGATTCTGACTCAGTGACCGAATATAGGGATTCGGAGGCTGTAAATCATTAGAGGAGCAGAAAAACCTGCTCTTTCTCCCACAGAGCAGCTGGCGAGTTTGGTCTGCAGACTTTTCAGTTAGCTGGTCAGTGCCAACCCAACAATGTCATCAAGGTGCCTTTAAAATGGTGGGTCTCAATCTTTTGGATGTTACAGATCCCCTTCAGGGCCAGGTGAAAGTAACAAATTCACATAACTTAAAATATTTACACACAATTTAAGGGGTTATGGACCATCATACTTAGTCTGTATGCTGAGGAAAACATCCCAGAAATTGGATTATATGAATAAAAACAAGGCATCACCATTGGAGGAAAGCTCATTAACAACCTGCACTATTCAGATGACTCAACCTTGCATGCTGAAACTGAAGAGAACTTGAAACACTTAGTAATGAATATCAAAGAATACAGCTTTCAATATTGATTACAATTCAATGTAAAGAAGAAAATCCTCACAACTGGTCCAGTAAAAACCATGATAAACAGAAAAGATCGAAGTTGTCAAGGATTTCATGTTATTTGGGTCCACAATCTACTCACAGAAGGCAGCTATCAGGAAAGCAAACAATGTATTGCATTGAGCAAATCTGCACAAAACTTCCTTAAAGTATTAAGAAGCAAAGATATCACTTTGAGGATTCAGATGAGCCTGACCCATGAAGTGGTATTTTTACTCACCTCATAAGCATGTGAAAACCGAACAATGAATTTAAAAAACACCAGAAAAGAACTGATGCATTTGAATTATGATGTTGGTGAAGAATATTGAAACTACCATGGATTTCCAGAGAAGAAACAAATCTGCCTTGGAGGCAGTGCAGCTAGAATGTTCCTATGGCAGGGCTTCCCCTCACTCTGGGTGCATCAGGAGAGATCATTCCCTGGAGAACAGGATCATCTTTGGTAAAGTAGAGGAAAAGAGGAAGACTGATTGATAGACAACAATGACTGCAACTATGGGCTCAATCATAACAGTTGTTTGAGCAGTGTTTCCCTCTAATGTACACAGTGGCACTTAGTGGGGACCGGACAGCACCTAACAGCTATACTGGGTCTTCACTGGCCCTTGGACCAGCACAAAGCTTAAAAGAGAGGAAAGTGACATTGAGTTGGAAAAATTACCCCTAACGTTTGCTGTTTGTTTCTAATCAGTGCTGTCTAGTTGATTGGCAGCCTCCTACTACTTCACAGGGACTTCTCAGCAGACAATTTTTTTAAATCATTTTATTAGGGGCTTACAACTCTTATCACAATCCATACATACATCAGTTGTGTAAAACACATTTGTACATTCATTGCCTCATCATTCTCAAAACATTTCCTCTCCACTTAAGCCCCCGGCATCAGGTCCTCATTTTTACCCCTCCCTCCCCGCTCCCCCCTCCCTCATGAGCCCTTGATAATTTATAAATTATTATTTTGTCATATCTTGCCCTGTCCGACGTCTCCCTTCACCCACCTTTCTGTTGTCTGTCCCCCAGGGGGATGTCACATATAGTTCCTTGTAATCGGTTCCCTCTTTCCAACCCACTCTCCCTCTACCCTCCCAGTATCGCCACTCCCACCACTGGTCCCGAAGGGATCATCTGCCCTGGATTCCCTGTGTTTCCAGTTCCTATCTGTACCAGTGTACATCCTCTGGTCTAGCCAGACTTGCAAGGTAGAATTCGGCTCATGATAGTGGGGGCGGGGAGGAAGCATTTAGGAACCAGAGGAAAGTTGTATTTTTCATCGTTGCTACACTGCAGCCTGACTGGCACGTCTGCTCCCCGAGATCCCTCTGCAAGGGGATCTCCAGTGGCCTACAAATGGGCTTTGGGTCTCCACTCTGCACTCCCCCCATCATTCACTATGGTAAGATTTTTCAGCAGACAATTTCATGGCAGCATATTGCTGGGCCTATCTTCCTTACTGCCACTATACCCTTCGGCTGTCAAGTAACCTTACAGGACAGAGTATGTGAGGTCCAGCCTTATGCCCAAAAGGGTCTTGAGGAGCGGCTGTGCAATTGAGGGAAAATAAATCGACAAAGCATGCAGACTTACATGGTCTTCACAGACCCTGTCAATCACACATGGAAAAAGGTGAGCAGTGTCTTAACCTTAGAGGTCCCTGAGCTCATTGATGGAGTGACCCAAGACCAGTAATCGGGGACAGGCACAGGGGAGTGAGACAGTCCTTCAAGTAAGAACAATAGGATTGTGTTTGTTCTTAGAGATAGGTTGCTTTCGGCAGCATAGAAAGCAGCCGTGTGCTTGTAAGAGGCATACTCTGTAGCATTATTATGGGGAGGGGGGTATTGTGGGGCTAATTTTTAGTGTGGAGAATGTGACTGGGAGTCATCTCTACCTCACAAATGTGAAGGCCTTCCTCCACCAGAATCTGCCTTCCATACTCTTAATTATGAGCATAGAGAATTTGGTCGCATACATTCTCTTCCTAGTCTTCAGTTTCCCACAAGAGTAGAGCTGCTCGCTAGCCTTTGAGAGCATGTAAATCTTTACAGGTGCAAACAGCATCATCTTTCTCCCACAGAATGGCTGGTAGGTTTGAATCATTGACCTTGCAGTTAGTTAGTAGCCCGATGTTTAACCCACTCATCAAAACAGCTTATTTAACATTGGGTGCCACGTACCTAGAAATGGATTGCAACTAGTCCAGAGTTTATGATACTCTTACTTTTCTGTGCAATGCTCTTGTTAACTTCTTTCTCCCATCCAAGTATTAACCAGGCCCAACCCTGCTTAGCTTCCAAGATCAGACGAGATTGGGGGCGTTCAGGGTGGTATGGCTGTAGACAATTTCTTTCTTAATGGTATGATATATACTTAGAAGTAAACATCTAAAGATTAATTATTTTGACTGTCATTGAGAAAGAAAGCTCTTGGGCAGGAAGGTAATTATTGAGAAAGACAGGAGTGTGATAAGATGAATATCTGAAGTAAAAGGAACTGACCAATGGATTGCATCTTGGGAAACTTAAGGGGGCTCTGTGCAATTAATAAGGAGGTGCTGTAGGTTAAGTGTTGGACTGTGAACTCCAAGGTGAGTGCTTCAAACCCACCAACCTCTCTTCCAGAGAAAGATGAGGCTGTATGTTGCTAGAAATATTTGCAGTCTGAAGGGTCACTGTGAGTCAGAATCAACTCCATGACAGTTTTGTTTTGCTAACCAAAAGGTTACTATTTTGAGTCCACCCAAAAGTTCCTTAGACAAAATGCCTGGTAATCAACTTTTTAAAAAATCAGCAATTGAAGTTTTACCTAGACAAGCATGGAGTCACCATGCATTATAATCAGCTTGATGGCAGCTAACAAAAACAACAGTCCCTTCAGAAAAAAATGTGTGGAAACCCGTGACTAAAAGAGCTAGATGGTACTGGCCACTACCACCAACGGTCCTGAAAGGGATCACATCAGAAGGTCCTGGATAAATTAGGAAAATGTCAAACAAAACTCAAAATCATTAAAAGTCCAGGCTTACTGGTCAGAGACAAGGACCCTGAGTCGATGGTCCTCGGTCATCTTTCAGGTCTGGACATGGACTCACCCCAAGACTGAATTTTTAATGAAACAATAGACAGACTTTTAAGGGGAACAATAGCACTAGGGAAGTACACACACCTTAGAACCATTTGCCATCAAAAGGTAAGTATTAACCTAAGGACAGAGATCAGAAAGGAAGAATGGAAAGAGGGAGGAAGTGGGATAAGGGATGCTACATTGTGAGATTGCAACCGATGCCACGAACCAAAACGTGTATGAACTGTTGAATGGGAAGCACCTGCTGTGTACAGGGTTACCCAGTTCATAATACAAAAAGGTTAGTGGGAAAATTCCATTGTCTTGTCATTACATTTTTCCTTAAACGTTTTAAAGCCCTCATATTGCACAAAGAAAAGATGCAGTAAATTAAACTTCTGGGGAGAAATCATGTGAATGAAGTCACATAGTGCTATCAGGTGAGCTTTGGGCTACTATCTGCAAGGTCAGCGGCTCATTCAAGCCCACCAGATGTTTTACAGGAGAATAAGGTTACTTGCTTCCACAAAGAATTAAAAGCCTCGGGGAACTTTATGTAGGGTCACTGTCTGGTGGAATTGACTTATTGCTGGTGGGTATGGTTTTTGTTTAATTTCTTTGTTAAAAGTGGAGGGAAGTAGTTGTTACTCAAAAATGCTGCATAATTGTGTCCTTCCATACACAATTATGAAGAGATAATGCTAACTTCTTAACTGTTTTCTCTCTGTGAGTTCATCGGAGATGTTTCCTAATGTTTCTCTCATCACTGTTTTGAAACAAGTACAGAAAAACTTGCTTCTGTAGTATTTAGAAAGAATCTTAAATAAAATATATCAATTTTCTAATTATTTGCAGGTGTGGATTTGCTGGAGAAACTAGTCCAAGATGTATAATTCCTAGTACAATAAAAAGAACAGGGCTGCCTAAGGTATGTTTTAAAACAAATTAGCAAAATAAATGCTGCTTTGTAAAATATTTTAAACTTTAGCTAAGAACGATTAGAACATTGCTGGATATATAATCTATGGCCCATTTTTGGAGACATTTTGGTCTCATTTTGCATCCCATAATGTTTGTGTTTTAATTGTACAGTTTTTAGTAAATGTATCAAGCTGTTAGACAATCTCTACCTAATGTCCTTTTTTTTTCCCCTAATGTCCATTTTATAGTTAATCTGCATCTCCTCCACATCCCCACCCCCAACCACCTTTGACTTACTTTTTCTTTCAATAGGGTGGTCTTTTCTGTACATTTCATATAAATTGAGTCATATACTACCAAGAGAAAAAAAATAACCTTAGTAAAATGCTTTCACAAGTCTATGTTGTTAAGTGCCATCAGGTTGGTTCTGATTCATAGTGACCCGGTGAACACCAGAACAACACACTGCCCAGTCCCGTGCCATCCTAACCATTGCTGTGTCTGAGCCCAGTGTTACATATACTGTGCCAATCTGTCATGTCAGGGTGCTCTTTTTCACTGCCTTTTTACTTTATCATTTGTGATCTCTGTTTTCTAGGGACTGGTCTATAGCTTACTAACTATAAACTGTGTAATAGCTATAAAATAATTTTAACATTGGCTGACAGAGACTGGGCTAAGATTGGAATATTTGAGGGCACCTTTCTAGGGAATTAGTGTTTTTTTAATCGATGCTTATTGTTTTTCTTGGTAATATCAAATTGATAAATCAGACAAAGGAAAAGCAGATGAGCACAGCACTTTTCCTTCCTGTGGACACACCTTTTTCCCTTCAAACTAAAATAATTCCATCCCTTTAGATATGCTAGTTATTAAGGATTACTAATATAAAAGGTTAATCTATATTTTGCATTTTCCTAGTACAAATTGCCTTTGAATTATTAGCAAAGCATATAATAATAAAATAATAAGCATATTTAGCTTATTTTATTAATATAAATTAATGCATCCTTTTAAAATTTATAGCCTATTAAAGTTGTTCAGTATAATGTCAACACAGAAGAATTGTATTCCTACCTGAAGGAATTCATCCACATCCTGTATTTCAGGTAAGATGCTGTCTCTTTTTTAAAGCTTTTGTGATTAGGTAGATTTTCCTAATGCCACTCATAGTATTATATCTGATGCAAAAAAGTTAAGTTAGCTTATGTTGTCATTTTTATTTTCAACCTTTTAAAAACTATTTGGAAGACTTGAAAACTGGTGAGCATAAGGCAATTGAGAAAAGAAATCAAATGAACATTAACAAAGGGAGTTAGATAATTAAATTACTGTATATCCATACAGTGAAATAAAGCTCAGCCATGTTAAAAAAAAATGAGTACTGAATATGCACTGATAAAGATGTCTTAAGTATTCTGTTCAATGAAAACAGTTCGTAGAATAGCTTGTCTGGTGTGAACTCTGTTATTATTCATGCACATCTATAAAAACGAAAACATTTACAAACTACTATCAGTGGTAATTTTGGGGTAGTAGGATTACAAAGTACTTTCTAAGTTAAAAATCTGTAATTGCAATCCTGTGAGCAAGTTACCTTTGTAACTTGAGAAAAAAGATGAGAGTTTTCTAATGGTTCTGGGTAGTAATCTTAGTAGGTGTGTCGTTGAAATTTCTGAAATAAGTGAATTGATAAGATGCAAAGTTTCTGGCACAGTGTATGCATATAGTAAGAGGTCAGAACACTGTTAAGATGTGTTTTTGTCATAAAGCATCATAAACTAAAATACAGTTTCTCTATCCTAATCTAATAGCATTATTTACCAAAATGTATTTGTTACTTTTCAAAACTGTATTTTTAGGCATCTGTTGGTGAATCCCAGGGACCGCCGAGTTGTGCTTATCGAGTCAGTGTTATGTCCCTCCCACTTCAGAGAGACACTTGCCCGTGTTCTCTTCAAATATTTTGAGGTACCTGATTTTAAACCAAACTAATAGAATGTTTCAGAAATTCAACATTCTCTGTTTTTAAGGAGTTTCTTCTCTTTAGAGCACTGGTTCTCAACCTTCCAAATGGCACTACCCTTTCATACAGTTCCTCATGTTGTGGTGACCCCCAACCATAAAATTATTTTCATTGCTACTTTATCACTGTAATTTTGCTACTGTTAATGAATCAGGCAACCCCTGTGAAAGGGTAGTTCGACCCCCAAAGGAGTCACAACCCACAGGTTGAAAACTGCTGCTTTAGAGGCACTCAGGGTTAAACTTAAAAGTTCTCCTTTAATGGACTTTATTGCTTATCTATCTTTGGGGAACCAAATGACAAAGTAGCCCGAAGTCTGTTTACACTGGCAATTTATTTCATTTATTTGGCTGAGCATAGCTATTTTCATTCTTGATTAGTATTTTATCTGACACAGATTTCTCTCTGGTGTTTCTGTGATTTACTTATTTTAATGTAGGCTTTTCTACTGGGATATTTTTTCAGAATTATTCATATATTCGTATTTCAGAATAGTTGTATATTCTGTACCCTGGAATTTATGATGGGGGATGAAGTGCCAATAAAACTGTTATAAAAAAAAAGAACTTATGCTGTGTTTCCTCCAGGTTTTCCTAGTTTCTGTTGTCTAGTTATATTGACGGTTTTGAATCTTTGAAACTGATCACAACAAATACTATACTTTGTCTTAGCTAAAAACATCAGAAAAGGATTGGTTGTTCTGAGCATTGTTATATTACTATTTGTTAGGTGCAGTCAGGTCAGTTCTGATTCGCAGCAACCCTTTTGGACAGAGTCAAGCTGCCATAGGGCTTCCCAGGCTGGGATCTCCAGGGACACATCCCAGGGCTTGTCTTCAGAGCAGCTGCTGGCCAGTTCAGACCACTGATTCAGCTCTGAGCAGCCTGGTGCTTAACCTTCGTGCCACCAAAGCTCCTTATTTGTAGCTTCCATTTTATAGGAGTCGAGATTTTTATAGGACCAAGATTATGATTTAAGATTTTTATATTTAAAGTAAGGCTTGGGTCTTTATTTATTTTGTAAAGTCTTTTTTACAAATTTAACATTTTTCTGCAAGGTAAACAGGAAAGTTATATAAAATGCATATAGTATATAAGATGTGTTTTATGTATATATATATATTATATATATATATAAATGTGTTTTATACATTCTTCCGGACTCAAAGTATACTGATGTCATTTGCCAAAAATCACAATGTATTGAAGAGTTAAGGGACACTTAATATTCCTAAATTATAGTTTGGTAGAATAGGTACATAAAACAGATTGCACATCTTTTTTTAATTTACTAATGTCATATCGTTAGGAATTTCTGTAAATTACATTTGTTTGCGATAGAAAGTAACAACAAAATGAGACATATCAGCTCTTAACTTGAATAACATAGATGACTCTTTTTTTATACTTTCTTACAGTGTTAGTTGTTACCCCTTATCTTTTAGGAGTCCCTAGGTGGTGCAAAATGATGACTAACCAAAAGGTTGACAGTTGAAACCCACCTAGGAGACAGGCCTGACAATGTGCTTTTGAAAGGCCACAGCCCTGACAGCCCTGGAAGCAGTGAAACTGCACACACTGACAACAAGGAATTTCCCTCTTACTGTCGGGAGCCTTCTTCCTTGTATCTGATCAGAACCTGCAATAACTACAGAGATAAGAAAAATAACCTTTATTTTGTCTGCCATTTGGTTAAACCTTTGAGCTAAATATTTGCCTCATATTCGAGGTATACAAGATCTGATAAATTGTCACTGAAAAAGTCACAGAACTGCTAAAGAATTTTATTAGGTTAAGGGGCAATTTAACTTGACTTCTCTATTATATTTTAAAATATAGTTCATGTTACAGATCTTGTGAATAATGACAATAATGGTAACTGTATTTGCATTTTGATGATAAGGGAACTTGTCTTTTTTAACATCTTCATGTTAGTATTTCTAGACCTCTTTTTAAAATTCCTTGCTATTTTCCTCTCCAAAAGGAACAGAACAAGAATTAGTCAAAAATAATTTGCAATTGCCATTCAGAGTGAAAAAACTTAGCTTAAGAATGTTTATATTTGGGGAACCAATCACAATGATTAACATATAACCCCTCCCCGCCAGGGTCATGAACAACAGAAACGTGTGACAGGAGACAGTGATCTGTACAAGATAGGAAAATAATAATAATTTATAAATTATCAAGGGTTCATGAGGGTGGGGGGGGGGATGAGCTGATACGAAGGGCTTAAGTAGAAAGAAAATGTTTCAACAGGATGATGGCAACATACCGTATATACTCGTGTGAGTTTTCCAGCACATTTTTTATGCACTTATTGTGGTAACATTAGATGCCTTGGCTGATATTCAGGTTGGCTTATTCTCGAGTAGATACGTATGTACAAATGGACACAATGCTTGACACAATGGATGTGTGTATTGTCATAAGGGCTGTAAGAGCCTCTGATAGATTTATTAAATTTTTTAAAAAGAATACTGATATTATAGTATTTTTAAAATTATTACATATATTCAAATTAATCTGTGAGCTTATTGTTTAACATAGTGCCATAACATGGATGACTAGGCACTAACATAATGAAGTATAATGTTACCAGGAATGTTTTCATATACATATAACTCACTGGCATCCAGTCAGTGGCCAACTCATAACACCCTTTAGGTCAGGGTAGAACTACTTCTTGTGGGTTTCCAAAACTGTAATTTGTTATGGGGGTAGAAAGCCTCATCTTTTTCCTGAGGAACAGCTGGTAGTTTCAAACTGCTGACCTTGTGGTTAACAGCCCAATGCATAACCACTACCTCACTAGAGCTGCCTTCATATACATACAGCATTTGAAATATAAGCATAATCAAGTTCTGGTACTCATTTTGTTATTGTTGCTGTTGTCTTCTAGGTTCCTTCTGTCTTACTTGCTCCAAGTCATTTAATGGCTCTTCTGACTCTTGGGATTAACTCTGCCATGGTCCTGGATTGTGGATATAGGGAAAGCCTGGTGTTACCTGTATCTTTTATGTCATTCAGACAATTTTGCAGTTTTCATTCAAGTTCCACTTAATTACATGTAGTTTTATTGCAAGAAATTGTTTTTGGATTACCTGGAATTATGTGAAAAGAGTTTGCAGGATTGTGAGACATAAATTTGGGTGTTGTAGAAATTATCGTTATGATTCGTTCTCAGTATCTACTATGGAGTCAGACCTCCTGAATATTATGTTCAGTTTTTAAGAGGAACATCAGCATGTTTGGGATGTGACAAAGAAGTAGACGAGCGTAGTCTAATTCTAAAGAAAAGGTCGTACAAAATGGAGAAATTGTTATAAGAGCTGTAAGATCTTTTAGTAAAATATATATCATTTAAAAGTTAGTAATGGAAACAATTCAGATGTCTAATAATGGTAATGATCATATATGGAAATAAGATAATCATGACAAAATTTTTTTTTAAGTGAAGAAATTTTAGTAAAAAAAAAAAAAGTAAAACTTAATGACACCATGAAGTCTGCCTTCAAATTGCGGGAGGACTCACTGTGGAAAAGTGCATTCTGGTACATACTTTTCTGTGTCCAGCAGAGAGCATGGAGACAGAATGGCATAGGCTTTGGAGTTAAATACACACGTAAATGAAAAAATCAGAGTTGGGCCTCTCATTTGTTGCATGGTGCTGGCTTAACCTCTTTGCCCTCCATTTCCTTGTGTACAGAATGGCAATTTTAACCGTCCCACCTCACAGGAGTGCTTTGCAGTTGAGTGAGGTAATCTCTTTAAAGTCTTTAGCCCAGCACCTGGCCCACAGGTCCTTGCTCATTTAGGATTATAGTTTTTATATCATTCACCATAAGAAAGAATTTCTCAATGGTTCATACTGTGCTAAAATTGAATTACTATAAGCTGGTACATTCCTTACCACTAAAAGCATTAAAATAGAGTATGGGTAATTGTTTCTTAGGAGTTTTATAGTGAGTGTTGCTTCATTGAAGAGGAGATCAATTACCTCTTGCAATTTTAGATTCTGCACGTGAATTTCATTAATGAGAAGGCATTGTTGGGGAAAAAGTCAAGAATCATTAGCTCCTAAGGAACTAAGTTACTTTACTGCTTTTTAATGTAGAAAAAGCTCTAATTAATTTTAACAATAACCTGTCAGCATAGGCATTATTCCCTTCATTAAATAAATAGAAAATTTTAAGTTGTGATACACAACCCAAGGCCATGTAAGTGTAGACAAGATTTGATCCCATGTTTGTCTCTAAAGCTGATACTCTTACAATACATTTTATTGTTTATAAACATTGTACTTTATAGGGTACCAACCAAAACACTGTGGGTGACAAGGTCACAATCCCAAATTTAAAAAGGCTACATGGCACCCTATCCACTTGCTCTGTACTATTTTGTTGAAATAAAATAAAAAAAACTTTTAAAAAATTGTACTTTAACAATGTAATTTTAAAAATTCATATAATTTAAAATATACATGTTTAATATTTTAATATGTTGAAATAATTACAGTGTTTCAAAAAATTCTGAGATGTTTTACAGAGCGCTTTTTGTATTAGGTCTAAATCTGATGTGTTGGTTATTATAACACATCCCAGTTCACGCTAGCCATATGTTTAAGCACTCAGCAGCCACTTACCACTTGTGGCAAGTTTATTAGACATCCTTGCTCTAATGAAATATGTGTGTATGTTTTTAAAATCTATTTTCATCAAAGAAGATAGAGACTCTTGATTTTTCAGTTCTTAAAAAATAAGAATTTGCTGGCCGAGCCAACTTAATACTCAAGAAAGGAAAAATGCCATAGAAAATGCATTGATCCTAGAGTGTAAAAACCTTGACTGCCTTATAGATCTATGAAGGAATCCCAGTATTGAATTGTTGGGGGGCACTCCCCCTAGGAGGAAAAGCTCTTCACAAGTAAGTTTCCTGGAATTTAACACATTTTCTTCACCTGCACCACAAAAGCCGATGCAGTTTGATTATTTTTTTTTTATTTTACTCAAATCAGGGGAGGGTGTAACATAAGGACATTTCATTTTTTTCCATTTCTTACTAGCCTTTACTGTATTCACATATTGAGGGTAAGACAGTTTTTATTTAAGCCATCATATATAGTAAGGAGATTAACATCAATAATATCATTCAGCATTAAACTAAGAGTAGTTAGCAGTACAATATTTCATTCCAGTAATTTCGTTTGTTTTAATTTTAGGGAATTGGAAGCTCAACTCTTGGAACAATGTACTGTTGACACAAGTGCTGCTAAAGAACAAAGCCTTCCCTCAGTGATGGGTAAAATTATTTTAATCTATTAAAGTAGTTTATACATTTTGCCACATTTGTTTCATTCTTTACCCTAGTGCGACTCCAAGCAACCCTATAGGACAGAGCAGAGTAGCTCCTTGGGGTTTCAAGACTGTACAGAAGCACACAGCCTCCTGTGCTCCTACAGAGCATCTGGTGTGTTCAAATTGCTGACATTAGGGATAGCAGCCTGACGGAATCCACTGTGCCACCTGGGCTCCTTACCTAGTGCACAGTAACAGCGGCTAAAAGATTCTTAGTTTAGAAAAATCTTAATTTACATCAGAAAAATTTGAATCTTGACATTTAGGCAACAAATATTACTTAGCATTCGTAACATGATGCCCACTAATCAGGGATTCTCTACATTGCATAGGGTTCTCTGAATAGGTCCTTCTCATTCATTTTAAAATGTGACCCTTACCCGGAAGAAAAGAGTCTGCATGTGATCCTTTTTAAAGTATGGTTAGTACATCACAGCTATTTGTTAGTACAAAACAGATAAGCATATTTGGAATATCACTTTTTGAAAAAGAAAAATAATCTCTTTAAGCTATATAATGAATTCTTCTAAGTACTTGCCACACCATAACCAGAAAAGCACTTTATGATATAAAATATTCTTAGTAGATTTCTTCCTAATAGAAAATAGTTTCATATTTTAATGAGCTTGTTTTTGCAAAGTTTACACGTCAAGGGCATCCTGCAGCACTTGGGCTTATTTGGCTTTAGCTTTGTGCTTTGCCTTGGCTTTAAATAATAAATGTCTTCCCTAAAACAAATTTAATTTTCCTGCGTAGCTTTTTTTTCATATTATATTAATTATATATTTTAGTTTTGTCAAAGTGGAAATGTGGTGGCAAATTAATAGATCATTTGTAAAAATTCTCTTTTAGGTGCAGTTCCAGAAGGTGTCCTAGAGGACATTAAAGGTAAATCTCTATCTTAAGTCTCCAACTTTGTCCTTTTCATCTTGAGTTAGTTTAGTAGAAAGAGATAAATATAGGATATATATTATTATATGCTTTTGTACAGAGCATATACTATTGTACATATTTTATTAACATGGATGGATATTATATGACAGCTAATAATATATATTACTAGATACAGACACAACTGAAACCAAACTCAGTGCCATCAAGTTAATTCTGCTTGAGCACAATTAACTCACTCACTGTTATCTACTTGATTCCAACCCATAGCAATCCTATAGGACAGGTAGAACTGCCCCTGTGAGTTTTCAAGACTGTAACTTTATGAAAGTAAAGTCTTGTCTTTTTTCCCTGGAACTGGCTAGTGGTTTTGAACTGCTGATCTTGGGGAATTGCAGCCAAATGTGTAATCAGTACATCACCAGGGCCCCTAACTTCCTACATAGAATCTTCTAAATATTTACAGGTTATGAATTAATATAAATAAGCAGTGAGTTTCAGACCAATAGAAATTCTTGGCATTATCTATGATGTGTTAAGACAATAACTCAATAATACATAAAGTATACTGGGTTACTAAGGAACTGAAATTTTCCTAGTATGAATTAGCAATTAAATTGTTTATGTTACAGTATTTGGGTTGTTTTTTTTAACTCTAATTTTTCTTTATACATTTTTATAAAGGTAATCATTTTACTTTTTGGAAACTAGAATAGGACCCACAGTATATTGGATTTCCTTTAATAGAATATATTATTTCTGTTTTACTAGATAATTTATGATAATGGTCAAATTGGGTTTTCTGGTATTTTGAGTCCCTAAATGGAAAAACACTTAAATATAATGGTCTTCAGTATGTAAACTTTCGTGTAAAATTTATATTCTAAAATGTTTAATAAAGAATTAGACGAGGGCAACAAATGTATAGATGTGCTTTACACAATTGATTTATGTATTGTGATGAATTGTATGAGCCCCAATAAATTGATTTTTTAAAAATAAATAAATAAAATAAAAAATTAGACACTAATGGATTCTAAACCTAAATGTTTAAAAAGGTAATCTAGTATAGTTGATGCCCTGAAATACTGAATGCTTTGTTTATAAACATAAGTTGTTAGCATTAGAACTATAGCTGCAAACCAGTTATATCCTGTGCTTATATAGTATGATTAGCCAAATATGTTTATGAAATTTCATTATTACAACTAAATCATTTCAAGTAAAATTAATAGATTTCCTTCCCCTATTCCTGTCATATCCTCCATCATGTATCTGCGCTAACATATGTCAATTATTTGCAGTCTATCTCTTCATACTGTCTCTAACTTAGGAAAAGATAAGTTTTAAGTGTCCTGTGTTTCAAGGAAATGCATCTGACTACCAAATTTGAGATGAAGGGCTCCACTATTGATAGGTGTGGAAAGAATGGGAATTGCGGGAGTGTTTGGAGGGTGATGCGTTGGGCTGCTCAGCATAGACTCAGCCACCAGCTGCTCTACGGGAGGAAGACAGCCTTCCACTCCCATAAAGAATGACGGTCTTAGAAACCCTGCCCTACAGGGTCACTGCGAGTCAGTATCGAGTCAGTAACAGTGAGTCAGTTGTGCTCAGGCAGAGTCTGTACATGGATCAAGAGGAAGTTGTGCAAATAGGATAAGGGAATACTGCATCGTTTAAAAGAAAGGTGTATGTCACGGTTGTATCCTCACCATACTTATTCAGTCTGTTTGCTGAGGGAAGACTCAGAGAAGCTGAGCTCTAAGAAGAAGAATGTGGCCTCAAGATCTGAGGAATGCTTATTAACACTCTGCAATATGCAAATGACACAGTCTTGCTTGTTGCAAGTGAGGAGGACTTGAAGCACTTGGTGATGAAGATCAAGAATTTCAGCCTTCAATATGGATTCTAGCTCAATATAAAGAAAACCAAAATCCTCCCAACTGAGCCATTAAGTAACATTACTATAAATGGAGAAAAGCTTGAAGTTGTGAAGGATTTTGTCTTGCCTAGATCCACAATCATTGCTCATAGAAGCAGCAGTCAAGAGACCAAATGGTGCATTGCTTTGAGAAAATATGCTGCATAAGACCTCTTCAAAGTGTTGAAGAGCAAGGATGCTACTTTGAGGACTAAGATGTGCCTGATTCAAGCCGTGGTGTTTTCAGTCTCCTCATATGCATGTGAAAGTTGGAGGGACTGAAGAAGGGACACCACAGAAGAGTTGATGCATTTGCATTATGGTGCTGATGAAGAATATTGTAGTATCATGGACTGCTAAAAAGACAACTCTGTCTTGAAAGAAATATTGCAAGAATGCTCTTTAGAAGCACATACTTTGAACATGTCAGGAGAGACCAATCCTTAGAAGAGGACATCATGCTTGGCAAAGTAGAGGGGCAGCGGGATAAAATTAAGGAAGGCCCTTGAAGAGATGGTGTGTTAGACAGGGTTCTCTAGAGAGATAAAACCAGATTGCTGATAATTTTATATATATATTTATAAAGATACATATAACAAGAAATGAACTGTTAAATTATAAACAGATATAACACAAGTAATGAACTCATAAATTGTAAACAGATATATAATAAAATAAATGAACAGTTAAATTATAAAGCAGTACATATGGCTCAGTGCAACTCACTCCCATGAGAGAGTTGTGAGACACTAGCAGTCCTTCAAGTCTTGAGGGCCGTCCGGTAGTTCTCTGTAGAGAGAGCGAGCTAGGCTGTCCCAGCACAGGCAGCAAAACAGTCAGACAGGTCACCAACTGTCAGGCCCCAGCTCCAGAGATGTAAATTTCAATCGTGCAGTCTTAAAGGGACCTCAACTTACAGCGACACAGCCCACAGGCCAGGCATCTCACAGGTAGTGTAGCCTGTAAATTGAGGCACAGAACAAGCAAGGCAGCCGCACACTGGTCCGATGATCAAAGAGCAAGAGACAAGAAAGGCGAGGCTCACCGAGCCATTTATCTCTCCGCCGTTCAATTAATCCCACTGTGTTTATCGGCCAGGCTGGCACAATAAACTTATCTCAGATGGCTTGCAACAGTGGGCTCACACATAACAAGTGTGAGGATGGCACATGACCAGACAGTGTTTCCTTCTGTTTTGCTTAGGTTTGCTGTGAATTGGAGTCAACGGGACCTAACAAGAATATTATTGATAAGATTGTAGGAAAATGTATATGAAAGGATTGTAAACTTTTCTAGAAAGTAAGTTGGCATTGAAAGTGAAATGAAGAAGGTTGAATGAAGTTTGGTAACTTCATAAGGAATGCCAAGTAACTATTAAAGAGAAGGAACTATATTTACTGATTTAGAAGGCTTTCCCCAAAGTTAATGAGGAAGTGAGTTACTGAATAATATTTGCAGTGTGATCCCATTTATGTTAAAATGTCAACTATTTTTAAAATTTTCAGTGTTCTTTATCTGATCTTGGATTTTTAATTCAGTCATTTTTATTGCTTTAAATAAGTATACTGACCACTGCCACATGTTTAAGATTTTGAGGGCTATGTATTTATCTTGTTTAGTTAGAAGGACTTGAATACAATGTAAACAGCATACCTACTTTTCACTTACAGCATGGGTAGGTTTCCGAGACCAAGTGGCTGTGTCAAATCAGTGTTCTGTGACTTGCGGACCAAGCCCTGTCGGGCAGTGTAGTGGGAGTGCATGTGGTGCAGTGGGCTCTCTTTACCTCTCACATCTTCCCCACCACTGTAGAATGGTAGTGGTAGTGGTTGGGTATTTCCACCAGCCTTCTACCCACTGCCTCCCACTACTTTCAATGGGCAAGGACCCCATTCGCCCTCTGCCTTTTACCTCCCACTGCCTCTCTTGGGTAGGGACTGCACTTGTCCTCTGTCCCTCCCAGCCTTCAGTCCCACTATAGGTTCCTTCTTTCCCTGCCCCTCCCACCACCCTCCCCGGCATCTTCAGTCTTGTGCCTATCTTCCCTGTGACTGCCTGTGACCTTGCACTGTCCCACTATTATATCTTGTGGTCTCCCCTCCATGGATATTCCCCAAGACTTGTTGACACATGGGAGGTTTTCCACAGCCAATCAGCCACCATCCCTAGCATGGCCCGGTTATCACCAAGGCCTTCGGTGTATTGGTTGGGGTGGCCCATATTGAGGTCACTGGGTCTAGCCTTGGGACCTGAATCACTGGAGCCAGTGCCGGGGAATTTCTTCAAAGTTTCCATAAATGCAAAATATCAGATAAAATAGTTGCTAAGTGAGGAATAGGTGTGTAAGTAGCTTTAGCTCAGCTAGACATGTAGCTCAGAGTCTTGCACATGGTAGATTCCGTCTTAACAAGTGTACTTTATATTTATGAAAGAATTAATTTTTCTACACACACAATACGTTTTACAAGAAATTAAAGTTGTTAGATTGATTGCATATAACCAATTTTATCTCGTTTTTTTTTTATCTCTAGTTTTAAAAAACTAATTCCCTATCTCCTTATTTCTAAAAACAATTTGAAGTAACTTGTGTACCACACAACAGGAAAAAAACAACCTTGAATAAATGTTTAAAGGTTGGGAAAAACAAAACTTTAAAATCTAATATAGAAGGAAATTATGAGTGTTACTACAACTGAGAGCAAGATTAGCTTTGTCTTCTAACCCACTTGGATTTAAAAAAAACTAGCTAGAGTAGTTTCTCAAGGTGGGTAGTACTACCCACTGTGGGGTGCAATGTAATGATCCAGGGGACCTGAAAAAGAAACCTACACATTATCTTAGATTATGGGCTATTGAACAAAAATTTTTCAATGCCAAGTGTGTCCTTAGTCATCTTTTTTCCCTCTTGAGGAGGGGACAGTAGGCCAACTAAGCAAGGGAACTTATGAGCTAGAGAAAGAGATGGATAATAAAAAGCTATTTTTAAAGAAAATTGGTGATCGAAATGTAAATTCACAATTTTAAAGTTGCTTAAAACAAAAAACAAAAAATACCCTCACTTCCCTGGAGTTTATTCCAACTCATAGTGACTCTTGTAGGATTTCCAAACTGGTAAATCTCTACAGGAACTGACAGCCTCATCTTTTCCCCCATGGAGTGGCTGGTATATTTGAACCACTGACCTTGTAGTTAACGGTCCAGTGCTTACCCACTAGAACCTGGATGGATGGATAGATAGGTATAAATAAATTTGATTAAGGAGACATGCGGTTCAATTAAAATAGCTATATTTTCAATGTTCTAACTTTTATTTTAAATATGGGACTCTTTAGACAAGAGATACCAAACAATGTAATAGATTTCTCAAAGGTGCTTATATTTTAATGTAATTGAAATCTCTTCAGTAAATAAAGACAGCAATCTTTTATTTGTGAATAGTCATAAGCCTACTGTCCTCTGTGTGTGTGTGTGTGTGAAATCTGATTTATAAAAGAGGGTTTAAAAGAGGTAGACTTATTGATATTTGAATACAGAGTAATTTATATTTCTTATATTCAAATTGGAGTAATGCTTAAAAAACAAAATGGGAAGATTTCATCAAATTATCTCTTTCTCAGGATAGTTCTGTTCCAGTTTTTATAGTACAAATAAATACGGGTTCCTTACTTCATAGAGTACCAATAGTTTTTACTAAGCATGTCCTGTTGAATGGGATTGTTTTAACTGGGATATTTTTAACTACTCAGTCTCCAAGCTTAACACAATTCCCTTTTTCTGCCTTTCTTTTTTAAGTCCGCACTTGCTTTGTAAGTGATCTGAAGCGTGGACTAAATATCCAAGCAGCAAAATTTAACATTGATGGGAAAACTGAGGTAAGTTAAAAATACAGATATTAAAAAAAAAA